GTTTTACAGAAATATTTTTCTAGGAAGGAAAACAAACAAAAATGTGTGTAAAAGGCTTAAACAAAAGTAAATGCATGGCAGTATTTTATTTAGTATTTAACATCTACAGGAGCTGCTCAGCCATAGAACCCAGGACCACAAAGCTCCAGGCACAGTTTTAGTGCTGATGTTAATCCCAGCGGTGTTTGGAGTTCTGCAGTTGAGTCAGCAGTTTTGGTGACTTTTAGACTGTATCACCTCAGCCCTTGGTGACACCCCTCTGAAGATCTACATGTCCAACGATTTGTGGCCGAGTTGTTGTGGCTCCTAGATGCCTCCACTTTGCTATATCACCACTTCACCTGATCATTAAATATCTAAGAGGGAAGAAATTTCATGAACTGACTTGTTGCGGTGGTGGCATCCTATTACACTACCATACTCAAATTTAGTGAGCTCTTTAGAACAACCTTTAACAAATAAAGGCAGACTGCTTGGCTGTTACCTGAAGCAACAGGAGTGAAAGCACCTGAATTTGGAGAAGAGGAAGTGTGGCTCTGTAGTTTTGTCCATAGTGTATTTGTTGTAAGACAACTAAAGTGCTTAAAACTGATGACTTAATAATTCAACAAATAAAAGGTTTTTATTATGCTCAGACAATTGCATTCAACATTCAAAACTGTAACCAAAATCAGTGCCAAATAAATATTTGGTAAAGGGCAGCTCGGTTTTACTTGACAACGATTGATATCCTGTGTAGAAACATGAAAAAAGTTCATTTTATCACTTTTAAGTCTATACTTTTTAGAATTCGTTTCACACAATATATGACATCATACTGGAATGAGTTTTAGAGTTTTTAATGCGCTGTCATGAATGAAGTTTCAATTAAGATAAGCAGCCTAAAAAGAAAAACGTTAGGACATCCTGAAGTGACTTTGACTTGGTGTATCTCATAGTGGCGGAGATCCCAAATAAGTCTTAAGACCACTTAGAGACCAAAAGCGATTATATTTCTGAGTCCAGAGGCTTCAGAGTGCAGTGAGATATGAAATCACTGTTTCCTCAAAGTATCAGTATGCCTTAATGACAGTGTGGCATTATGTTGTAATGGGTTATGGTTTTAAAAATCCAGAAAAAAAAAAAACCCTACCCCAAATCCCCCAAAACGAAGGGGTATTAAAACACTGCAGCCCATTGCTCAGCTTTGGTTCCTCATATTTATCAAACAAGAACAAATCTTCAACTTCCCGTCTACTTTTTTTGTCCTTAGGCAGCAAGAAATTGCTTTAAAACACAAATGTATCCATCTTATTCAATTCAACAACAAAATCCTCAAGTTGACAGGTTTTAAAACATTCATAGCAGTATTTGTCCCAGTTCTTCCCTGTATATTATATATTTTCCAGTAGTTTCAACAAAAGGAAAACTTCCTTTCTAAAAGATGCCACTTGGCATGCTCACAAAGCCTCAGAGTGGCGGGACGCCCCTCATCCTTCGGATGACGTTAGCGATCCGCTTGGCCAGTCCTGGGTTGGGCTCTTCGATTTGGAAGCTCCGCGTTAGTAAGTTGTATAGAGAGCCGTATCCCACAGCCACTACAGTGCATGTCAGGCAGATGACATTGTAAGGCATGCTGAAGTCTGGAGTGGGCAGATTGACAAGCAGAGGCTCTGTGTAGATGCGGACAAAGTAGCTGGACTCTTCTTTACAGGGAAAACTGGTGAGAGAGGAAAATTTGATCATCCCATTTTCTAGATAAACGTGTCTGTGCAGAAACTCAAACAGTCCGTGAATAAAACACAATAAATGTCATTTTCATCAAGGTGGGTGGGCGATGGGGGCTGTGTACTTACAAGCTGCTGAAAAGTGGTCGTTCCCGAGTGCTGTTTGTATGCATGGCGACAGTGCTTGGTACAAGAGAACTAATAACTGAAGATCTAAATGTTAAAGACAAGGACTTTAGTCAATAAAAGTCTGAAATTAATTTAAAATCCTAAAAAATAAAAAGCAAAAATCATTTGAGAAGCAACACATGTCACACATGCAATCCTACGTGCATACCCGACATAGAAACCGTGGTTGGGATCGGGTGGGTATTCAGTCCATTTGAGCAGAGCCCTCTCAAACTGCACTGTAACCTCAGTCACAGAGTTTGGAGGAAGCTGGATCAGCATCTCCAGCAGGTGGGGCTTCACACGATCCTTAGATGGCTCGTAGTGGATGTAGCCTAGCAGAGGAAGAAAAAAAACAAGTGACCAATAATACACTGATTAAATGTTCAAACTAGAACTGCACAAACACAAAGGCTCTGGCATCTGCTGTCAAGAAAATTGTATTTTAAACAGCTATCAACCCAGAGTTTTTACAGTCAGTGAATTCCTAGTTTAGACACAGATCACTGGTTTATATAAATTACATAATGGGACAATATTTAATCAATAACAGCATGTTATTCAAGTTAGAAATGAACACCAACATATGTATTTGATAACTGTTTCTTACAGAAAACATGACTCATGTTCTCCACCTTGTGGCAAAAAGAGGCAGCTGCATGAACCCTTACTAACCATTCCTGTGGGTTAATGTGGGAAGTCAAGTATTTTACAGTGGGCTGTGAACAGCATGACCGACTTACCCCTGTAAGGTCAAATGTATCATATTTGAAGCATGAGTTTTTGAGACCTTTACATCATTAGTGTGATTTCTTTAACCTTAAACCCTTTACACATTTTTGCTGAAGATGAATAGTCATCAATAAATTGCACAGAAATGCTGGTGTAGCAAAAATCATACAAGTCAAAACTCATTATTCATGACAGGTTCAATAAAAACTCCAGCTTCAAGAAAATTAGATTTTTCTGGCAATTATTTCATGGTTCAGATTTTACAGGGTTAAGTAAAAGACTGAATAATAATATCCATCGTTGAAGAAGTCAACATCAAAAATCAAAGCCTGCAAAGATGCTCACATGTCCACAGGACATTTAAGCTAACTAACAGAAGGCAACAAAAATGAAAATGAAATCAAGTTGAAGGCACACAAGTTCAGCTCAAGTGGGAGTCTGACTATCGTGCACCTCTACAAAGTGTAAAGAGAAGGCTGTGTATTCATTTGCCACTGGCAATTTGTGCTTTTAAAGAACATAATTAGCATCATCATGTTGATGTTTGAATCAAGGTATGGGGGTCAGAGGCAGGGGACAGCACCTTCAGAAAGCCACTAAACTGAAAAGATGCACTCATGGACCGTTTCTTTGAGCTGTAAGTGCAACTTTCATTTTTATGTGCAGGTGTTTCATGGCAATAGACAAAGCTGCAAGAGTCAACTAAACAACATGAAGTAAGATCTACTTTTCTTCTTTTATTTAATTAAACTTCCTAAGAAATGATTCAGTGGTCATATTCAGATCCATGAAACAGTCCCAGTAAGACTTGCAGACATAGAAACAAAAAAATAAAGATGTATTGCTTTACCTTTATATCAGATCTATTCTACCAAAGCAGGCTTGTTAAATAGGTTGCGGGGAGGTGGCTGAGTGATAGTCTTCTAGTTGAATTTGTGATATGCTAATGCTAAACAGCGCAAAGGCTAATAAGATTTTTTTGTAGACTGGTTGAGGTCCTCTCCGTGAATCGCTACCTTATCGTGGTGGAGGGGTTTGTGTGTCCCAGGGATCCCAAGGTCGATGTTGTCTGGGGGCTTTTGCCCCCTGGTAGGGTCTCCTGTGGCAAATTGGTCCTGGGTGAGGGACCAGACAAAGACCGATTCAGAAGACCCTTATGAAGAAAACATTGAGGGAACAGTTTACCTTGCCCGGGATAGGGTTACCGGGGCCCCGCCCTGGAGCCAGGCCCGGGGAGGGTGCCCGACGGGCGAGTGTCTGGGGCACAGCCGGGCACAGCCGGAAAAGGGGACATGGGCCCATCCTCCCGCAGGCCCACCACCCGCAGGAGGGGTCGGGTCCATTGTGTGCCGGGCAGCGGCCAGGAGCGGAGGCCCTGGCGGACTGATCCCCGGCTGCCAAGACTGGCAATTGGGACATGGAATGTCACCTCTCTGGTGGGGAAGGAGCCTGATTTAGTGCGTGAGGTTGAGAGGTACCGGCTAGATATAGTCGGGCTCACCTCTACGCATGGCTTGGGCTCTGGAACCAGTCTCCTGGAGAGGGGCTGGACTCTCACTCTGGAGTTGCCCCTGGTGAGAGGCGGTGGGCTGGGGTGGGTATTCTAATATCCCCTCGGCTTGCTGCCGGTACGTTGGGGTTTTCCCCGGTGGATGAGAGGGTTTGTTCCCTGCACCTTAGGATCGGGTAACGGGTCCTGACTGTCATCTGCACTTATGCGCCGAGTAGCAGTTCAGAGTACCCAGCCTTCTTAGAGTCCCTGGGTGGGGTG